GGCGAGAACCGGTTTGTTATTCTCATGAACCGGCTTGACTCACGTATAAAACAAAAATGACACAAGTATTTGTCATATAATAACACAGGCGCTTATTCGATAAACTCATCGAAAAATACAGCGTGGATTCCACGGAACGATGGAATGTTACACAATGGTAACAACAAATCATAAAACTATTCTGAAGATTTACTGGAGTGAAGGAATGTATTGATGAGTTGTCAATAAAAAAATTGAGATATTATTATTTTATATACCACACCATTCAGTTCTTTTGATTTGTATTTTTTAAACACCCAAAGTAGAACATAACGATGTATATGGTAGATATTAAATATTTAAAATGATACGATATTTCTTTTTCGATCACATGTCGAGAAATTCATCGAAAGATAATCTCACTTAGTGCCATAACTTTATAACCTAAACTGGAAAATTTCGGTTGTTTTTGTTCGATAGAGAAATGTTTTGTTCTGTATATCTGGAAATTTTTTATAAAGAAGTGAGAGTATGAACAAATAATAAAACTTGAAGCATATGTTTTTCGCATTTAATAGTAGTTAGAAGAGTGTATTAATGTTGTTAAGCTCGTTGTAGTTGAAAAGAGTGTTTGCCATAGTCTTGTGACGTCTTATTTTGTAGAACTCGACTTCCTCTATAAGCTCACCTATTCAAACGTTTGATCTAACTTAAAGTTTCATCAGAACAAGTCTATATTGGCATAATCTGGGGATTTCAGCTTCTTTGACAGTCTGATAGAATTCTGAACTATTTTGTTTGAATTTGTAGTTGTAGTTTCTTCTTTTATTCGTTAACTTTATTCGTTAAAAAACATGTTTATTATTTTTTTGCGCTTTTTTAGGGTGCTGGTATGTAATAACCATAGCTAAAGACACATCTTTCGGTCATTTCTAAACGAAAAGAAATAATTATTTTGCTATGTGAAAGTGGACATCATCTACTTTATTTTAACACTAAAAACTATTTGTATTTCATTCATACGGTTTTGAAGTATAAAATTTATTAGAATAGAGGACTGACAAATCTGAATTTTACTACAATAATTTTTCAAATGTTAATAAAATTTCCAAATATGTGGACTAGAACTTGAAACGTTTTTATATAAAATTGTCTGTGACTCATATTGTCTTATAGCATGATCAAAATTCTCAGTAGATGTATGTCTTTCAATAATCGACACGTATACTGCAGCCATTTTCTCATCTAGATTGCTTTTTCGGCTCGGCAGAAGACGACGCGCTGCTTCAAACGCTTTTCTAGCTGAATATATCCTCCCGTTATATGCATCTCTTTCAATCACCGACATGTAGATCGAAGCCATTTTCTTATCAAGTTGACTTACGTGAACAGGCAAAATACGACGTGCTGATTCATATGATTTAATAGCTTGATTAAAATTCTGATTACGCTTATGTCTCTTAATCATTGATATGTAGACTGAAGCGATTTTCTCTTCGGACATAATGCTGTGGCTGAGCAGAAAAGCACAGGCTGATCCATATGCTTCTATAGCTTCATCTAAACTCACGTCAGATCTATATCTTTCAATAACTGCCAAGCCCATGCAGGCCACTTTCTTATCCAGTTTGATATAGTGACCCGGTAGAACTCGACATGCTGATTCATAAGCTTTAATAGGTTCATTAAAAGTTCAGTCAGATGTATGTCTTTCAATAACTGCAACGCATATTGAGGCCAGTTTTCTATCAAGTTTGATATCGTGACTCGGCAGAACACGACGTGCTGATTCATATGCCCTTATAGCTTGATCCAAAGTCTCGTCAGATGTGTGTCCCTCCATAACTGCCATGCACATACAGGCCAGCTTTTTATCGAGTTTGCTGTCATGACTCCATAGAACACAACGTGCTGTTTCATAAGCCTTAATAGCTTCATCAAAATTTCCATAAAATGTATGCCTTTCAATAACTGCCATGCCCATGGAAGCCATTTGCTGATGAAGTTTGTGACTCGGTAGAAGACGACGTGCTGATTCATATGCTTTTATAGCTTGGTCGAAATTCCCATCAGATGTATGTCTTTCGATAACTGATCTGTACATCGAAGCCATTTTCTTATAAGGCATGATTTTCAGACTCTGAAGATAAAGACTTGCAGATTCAAATGCGTCTAAAGCTTCATCAAAATTCTCATCAGATTTCTTTGTTTCAATAGCTGACATGTATATCGAAGCCATTTCCTTATGAAGTGTCATTTTGCGACGCACGCGAAGACGGAATGGTGATTCACATAGTTCTGTAGCTTCATAAAAATCCTTCTCATATGTATGTCTTTCAATGACTGACGTAAATCAGTCCGTTCGCATTAGGATACAAAAGAAACAGAAATGTTCGAAAAAGTCATTCTCCTAATGCGAACGGAGCACATAGTTCACTTATATTCATCATATCTCCCGATGGGCTCAACAGTTTTTAAAAATTAAGCCTCTAGCATTCAGATGCTTCACATTTGGCGTATACACCAATTTGACTGTTTTGACCATTTTGACTACATTGACCGTTTATGACCCAGAACAAGCTCATTTGTTTATGGCTCATCAACGTACAATTGATACTATTCTCTGCATGCCGCGCACACCCGAATCACGAGCAGAAATGATTGCTGAATTTCGTCGTGCGTATAGTGACAATCAAGTAACTCTTGCCGACATCGCTGACTTCGAAAATACTTACCAGCCGTATGCAGTTCTACAATGGTACACACGCAACTCTTTTCTTTCGCGATCTATTAACCACGCACTTCGCTCAAGTAACGTTGACGCCATGTTTAAACTGCGATATGTTCTCACTGATCTCTATGATCAATTGAATGGATTACACAAAGCGAAGCATTCGTCTTTTCAAAAGCGAAAAGTAGAGACATTTTATCGTGGTCAATTGATGTCGAGCAAGGAGTTTGATTGTTTCAACGAACTTCGAGGTAGTATCATTTCGATTAACACATTCTTGTCCACGACGACATCGATGCAAATCGCTCTTATGTATGCCGGCCAATATCTTGAAAATCCCGATCTGACCTCAGTCGTATTTAGCATTGAAACAGATTCGGAAGCTCATACACGTCCATATGCCAACATTTCCCACTATTCAATGTTTGAAGATGAAGATGAAGTTCTGTTTGCCATGGGCAGTGTCTTTCGCATAGGAAATATCCGTCAACTGCCAAATGCAGACAATATTTGGATTATACATTTAAGAATGATCGACCAAGAAGATTCTCATTTCAACAGAATTTTTTCAACAACTGCGTAACTTTTTCACAATGAAAAACACAGCAATTTCTCATGATAATCGAGAACATGAGGACTAAGAAAATAAAATGTTTTGAAGTCATAAAACAAAAAAAGAGAGAACAAACGAAACTTATTTAATGTTTGCTTAAAAAAAAGAAGCAGCTTTTTTATCTTTGTTTTCTCCGTAATAGAAAAAAAAAGATAAGGTCACGCAAAGGTCAATACTACTCGTCTTTCGATTTCGGAAAGGGTAAGTGTCATAGACTGATAAAGTATGCATCAAGATGATTCAAGTAAAATTCATTTTTCTTTACTTAATTTCGAAAAATTAACCGACATAAAATAAATTTTGTTCGTTGTATCGATGGCTAATGTTTGTCTTTCATGGTTATGGTTGATGATGATATGGGAAGCTATTGTCTTTCTAACTGGTTCAGTAACCCTGGATTTCTTTTCCATCTATTTTAACTCGACTCGTTATAATCAATTAAAAACGTTTTACATCAATAGTACGATGAATTATTCGATGACGACTGATGATGTAGCAATGATCGTCTCATTCCATGATCTTGCTCACAGTTGTCTGATGTGGAAATTTGATTCTAAAAAGATTTGTCGGAATGTTTCAGTATCATACGATATTATCATTCTTTGCCTAATATCAATGTTACTCTGGTTCAGCTCTTCGCTATGGATATCACTGCGTAAATATCGTTTGTTTATCTATCATTATGTTTATCATATACTGTCCATCATACTCTTACTAACATTTTTATTCTTACTTCTAATACGACGATACATTGTTTTTATTGTGTCAACAACATTCGCGTTTGGTCTGTTGAATTGTGTCTACCTGTGCTATTATAGAGAACTATTTAACAGAGAAAATCGACGGACTAGTAATGAATACTCGAAAATGATTATTTGCACAACAAAAATAGTGCCAACAACTGTCGCGAATCCACCACGACATCAAGAAATATAAATATTAAGAACAAAATGAGAGCTCGATCGAATAAACTGTCTAATGTATACCGTTGAGTTTTCAGTACATGCGTTGACAACTACAATGTTTCAACAACTCTTCTCGTTCACTGTATGTAGGAAGAAAACAAAAATAAGTTGTGTCAAATCGATACCATTGAAGAGAGTTTGGACTACATTTCAAGTGTTTCCATGTCCACGGCATATTTTATCAAACTGACAAAGGCAAGACCGAGAACTTTTCTGGACTAAATAATTATTACTTTTCATATTGATGATGATTCAAAAAATGTTTTTGATATTCGAGAAGCAGATGGTGATCTTTGTAAGCGTTTTCACCTAATGAATTTTACTTTTGTCTGGAGATTTTCTTCGGATTTTGAATTTCGTATCAATTTCGAAATGGAATAACTTCAAAATGCGCAAAAGATGGCAGTTAATAATAAAGTACGAGCATGATCTGAGTAAAACTACGTGAATGTCTCACACCTGTGATGGCAGAGAGACAGAGGACAATCTACAAGCCGGAAAATAAATATCTCACTAAAGAAAATTGTTTTCAACTTTCAGAAAACGTTTTCACTTGGAATGTATTCTACAAAATACAGATATACGTTTATTACACTTTAAGACACTATTAGACACTTTTATTGTGGTATGTGAGAAAGAACAAACATCATAGTATATAGACGCTGCTTAACCCTTTATTCCCGGAGTGAAGTTTTTGAGTGCTCACTATGCCCGTTCCATACTTGAAATAAAATGAAGTTGGCTAGGTGGCAGAAGATAGAATATCCACAGGCGTGGACATTAGGGTGATCAACATGGAAAACGCAAGTTTTTTCTTTGTGTTGTCCGAACTTGTGCTGTCAAAATTCAGCATTTAGACAAAAACAAGGTCATATTCAGATTCAGAATCAAAAACTGAATTGAATGACATGGGTCTCAATATTTTGGAAAATATTTGGAGCCCGAGTGAAAATTTTAGTTTGGATTTTTGTAAAAAACGAAAAACTTCGAGGTCATTCAAAACTCCTGGCACTCATGTCATTCGAACCAGTTATTGACCCTGAATCTCACTATGACCGTGTTTTTGCCAAAATAACAAAGTGCGGGTCCAATTTCAGAGTTTTTCACACTGAATTCATGAAAATTGAATTTTTCGACAATCAAGTAAAATTTTTCAAAACCGACACAGTTTTTTCCCATAAGTATATAAGTGAGAATGAAATATGAAAAAGAATCTTATCTTCCAAATCCTAGGACTAGATAGACTTGCAAGGTTAGCCAGCTGTCCTTTTACCATCCTGCTCGTCTTCAACGGTTCTTGAAGTCAATTTGAGTTTTGAAATTTCCAAAATCCGTTTTCTAGACCCACTTTTTGATGAAGAGTAAGAAAAAAAATTGTTTTGGAATTTTAAAAATAGAATGAATGGTTGGATTTTGAGTTATATTCAGAATTTTGCCTATTTTCACATATTTTTGAGAAATCGATATTTAAAAGTTTTTTAACTTAAAAACGTGTTCCAAGATTGTGGGATTAAGTTTTTTCTATGCGCCTCGATGTGCTTGCTCTATCCAGAATGGCAGAAAAAGGAAAAGGAAATTCTGTACCTTACAAGAAAAGAAGAGAAAGAAACAATGTATATATGTCTAAAAATGAGTACTTTCTATGTCATTCCTCCCTATTTTGCACAGATGTGGACATTTCATTACTGGACACGATGCCTCAAGACAACTTCACAGAAAATTTCTTTTCTTGTGTAGTTATAAAAAGGATCCTTGTAGCAATAGTTATCTACCAGTACATCTGAATATCCTTGTATTGCTAAAGCTATGGAACAAGCTTTTAAAAAAATTCAAAAAATTGAAACTTTTTAATTCAAAAGTTAATTATCTCAGTCAAGGTCCATAGAAAAAACTTTCTTTTTTACCAGTCGTGAGCTTATGAAGTCTCTAAAGTTGGAAAAAATCCGGTTCTGATATGACGCTTCGTTATTTTTGTATATCGATTTTGTCAATGTCCACGGGTGTGGACATCCGGGGTTAAAGGGTTAACAAGCACATTAAAGACACATTAGGGACTTCAGCTTCTACGTTCTCCAATGTATTGCTTGGTTAAAAGGTTTGTTATCATAGTTGGACATAGAAACAACTGAAATTTAGTCAAACTCTCTTCAGTAATATCGTCTTTACATAACTTATTTTGGTTTTCTTCCTACATACCGTGAAAGTAATTAGAAATCTGGTTAAGAGTACCCATCCATCTTTTTGAGCTTTTCGTAGAAACGCCTTGAAATAAAAACGAAAAGTCATTAAGACTTCATACTTTCAGAACTGATTGGAAACTCAACAGAGCATTTTTTCGTTTTTATTTCAAGTTTTCACCTATTACCGTTCATGAGTTTTCCAGAAAACTCGATTTTTCATTGTGTTACATTACGACCTCTCTGAAATTTCATCCGATCGAGTTAAAAATTTTACCAGAGGTACTCAAGACACTAGTGCAGCGGTATTTTGAGGAATTTTTTTTAGACCTTTCTTGTCGATTTATAGGCAAAATACTGAAAAACGTCTCAAAAATCAAGTTTTTCAATTTTAGAAACCCAATGACTCGGTAAAGAAAGGTGTAAAATAAAATTTGTACACAGGTCACTTTTTTTCGAGGCATTTGCCGCGATGCTTATATTTCCACGAAAACTCATCCAAAAATTCTGGGAGATTCTGAAGTGAACACTTTCTCCTATTAGACTATGTGTAAGAAAAAATTCGAATGTACGCAAAAAGGAGAGAAACATTTATAAAACTAAAGAATGGAGTTTTTTCAGGCTTTGAAGGAAAAAATTGAAAGACTCATAACGTTGTGAAGAAAGGTCGTGGAATGTTGGGAATGGTCTTATTGTGTAGTCTAGCCGTTCCTCTGCTTAGCTCAAAATCCAAAACTTTTTTAAAAAAGAGGATTGAGATACCATTTAGGA